TGGCTTTGGGTTACCATATTCATAATTACCAACACTACACTGGGCGTCCCTTGTTATAAGTATAGTACAACATACCACCAAAACCTATTCTAGTTATTGCTGGCTTTCCCAAGGGGTCCTAATTACCTATACAGTATTCTAGTTATCACCGGCTTTCCCAAAAGGTCCTAATTACCTATACAGTAGAATGTAGGATTTCTATGTTCGGAGCCATGATCATGATTTGGAGAAAGTATCCCCCACAAGAGTACCCAGGACCCTTTGGGTTTTGGTTAGGCAGTCGATGGCTGTCGGGTTTGGGGTTTACAGCTTAGGGTGCCGTATTCTACTCAGTAGCGCCCCTTTAATAATCCCTGAAAGATACCCCGATAAGAACCCTTTTAAAGGACCCCTTTTCAAAAAGGATCCCGGATTCTGACGTAGGGGCTCTGGGTTAGGCGGTTGAGGGCCTCTGGGTTTGGGGCCGGTTTTCGGTTGAGTTTAGGGCCTTGGATTTACGGTCACTTCCAGAGCCCTGGGGTATAGGGTTTAGGGTTTTAGGGTTTTTAGGGTGTTTAGGGTTTTTAGGGTTTAGGGTTTAGGGTGGTAAAGGGGTAGTTCTCTAAATGAACTAAGGTCTTTTAATTCCCAAATTAAATAGAGTACGGCACCCCGATTCCTTACACACAGGCTCTACACCCTAACCTAAACCATAAACCCTGGTCCCTCTAAACCCCAAACCCTGAACCCTAAACCCTAAACCCTAAACCCTGAAGCCTGAACCCTAAACCAACCAACCAACCAACCAACCCACCAACCAACCGACCAACCTAAACCCTCCCCGGCCATCAGGTGGCGAACATAAGCTGGGCCTTGGCCATCGAAAGCATCGACCGGCCTGCCTTGCGAGAGCTTCGGAAGCAGGCTGTTGCCTAACTCGGAGATATAGGTTCTTGGCTTATAGGCGTTTAGAGGCGTTTAGGACTCATAAGGCTTATAGGGTTTATAGGGCTTAAAGGGCTGATGGGGTTAATAGGGCTTATAAGGCTAATGCGGTTCAGCGTTTCCAGGGTTTGGGGTTGGGAGTTCAAGTTCTCATATTGTTATCCCCATCACCACTTGCATCAACTCGCCGACATAAGCATGAGATAACAGTGTCCTTAAGTTGCGGCTAACCTACCCCGGTGAAGCTAAGCTTCTTTGGCAAGGGCTGCCACAATCCTAGTCTGACAGGTCCCCGTCCCCCCTAGAGCCTATCCCTAAACCCTAAAATCACATGGGTAATTTTCTAAATTAGGGTACACTTTTCATTCGAGGTCCCCAAAATAGTGCGGCACCATTTGTAAAAGGACCCTAAAAGGGACCCCAATTTAGAGATCTACCCATATTTCAAGCTTCAAAGGATCAGCTTGCCGCAGCCGCTCGACGATTGTCCCCGGTCTTTGGCCGGAAGGAGCCTGTTTCCGATTCCCTTCTGCCCTTTAGCTAGAGGGTAGGGTGTTCCCGGTTTGAGGGTTAAACCATGCACATGAACACAGACTACTGAAGCCTACACTCTTGCGGGAAATACTTCAAAACGTACTAAACCCTGTAACATACGAGCAGCTTAGCTGTGTTTTTGCTTAGGGGTCGAATGTCACAGCAGCCGATCTCGGCCGAGTCACCTGCCAGGAGCACCCTGTGTCTATATCGTGGTCTGTTGTAGGCGGGGGCGAGCATACCTATACATATCTATATATATATA